CCTATAGCCCCGAAGCCCAATAGCCCTATAGCCCTGTAGCCCTGTAGCCCTGTAGCCCAATAGCCCCATAGCCGCATAGCCCCATAGCCCCATAGCCTTATAGCCCTATAGACCTGTAGCCCTATAGACCTATAGCCCTATAGCGGTATAGCTCAATATATGCCTATAGCCCTATAGCTCTGTAGCCCCATTGCCCCATATCCCTATAGCCCCATAGCCCGATAGCCCTATGGTCCTTTAGTCCTACAACCCCATGGCCCCATAGACTCACAGCACCAAGGCCCTATGGTCCTGTAGCCCCTTAGCCCCAGAGCCCCATAGCCCCATAGCCCTATAGCCCTACAACCCCATAGCTCTATGGCCCTGTAGCCCTATAGCCCTATAGACCTGTAGACCGATCGCCCAGGCCGCCATATATCCCCATAGATCCATACCCCTATAGTCCTATAGCCCAATAGCCCCATCGCCCCATAGCCCTAACAAGACTTTGATTGGGCTTTGTTCTTTGGTATCAGTATGTTCATCCATGCGGGGCTATGTCAGGGTATGCTTTGTGCCGACTGCATACACGTGCCATGTTGGTCGAAGGCCAGCTTGCATCAATCACCCAACACCAGGACAGCCATATCAATAAAACTACCGATGCCAAACCACCAAGAAACCAAGACATCCAGGTCTCCTGATGAAGACACAGCAGCAGATGGCCCCCTAAACGCGACCCCGGGGGCGAAGAGCTCCACTGACTTCCTGCCACAGCCGAACGTATTATGCATACTATGGTGCCACATTGTCGCCATGCTGCTAAGCCAATTCACGAATTCATGAGGCAAGCAGGCTCATCTGTCGAGCCTTCGGCCTTGCCAGGAGGCCTTTGTGTCAACGCAGGGGTGCCACAGCTCATCTTCGCAGATCTCTCGCTGGCGTGACAACGCGCATGCTGAAGCTGGTCAACGTTGCACTGCGGTGATTGAAGTCATCGTTCCTGCCCATTTTTGTTGCGGGTTTAGTGAGCACAAGCGTGCAGATCCACAAACAAGTTTGGGATCGTCACGATCTTTCGTTTGCGGCTCAGCGCTCAAGCTAATAACTACTTGCCCGTCGGGCCACCCGAGAAAAATTGCAGCCGTGGTTGCGAACCTCATTCACTTCGGGCGCCAACCAATATCGACGCGACCAACCTAAATACATGAAGTCCCACCAGCCCTCTGGGCGCAGGTGGTCTGAGGCGTTTCCTCTTCCACCCCTCCCGCTTCCCCTTTGGGGAGGAGTTTATCACTGTTCCCTATTATTATACACCCCCTCCCCCAGGCGACTGGAAGCCACCCCGAGTCAATGAGGGCACCTCCCTTGTAAAAAATCATACCAACACACACTTGGCGCCGGCGGAGGCTGCGGCGGCTGCGGCGGGGGCAGCGGCTGCGGCGGCTGCGTGGCGGCGGCGGTGGCGGCGGCGGCGACAAGGACAGCGGCAACAGCGGCGGCGGAGACGGTGGCGGCGGCGGCGGCGGCACCAGTGGCGACAGCGGCTGCGGCGGCAGCGGCTGCGGCGGCGGCGATTCGGCAGCGGGGGCGGCGGCGGCGGCGGCGGCGGCGGGCGGCGCGGTGGCGGCGGCGGCGACGGACAGCGGCGGCGGCAGCGGCGGCGTGGCGGCGGCTGCGGCGGGCGGCGGCGGCGGCGGCGGAGGCGGCGGCGGCGGCGGATTCGCCCCCAGTAGCTGCCCATCCAAAGACGACTGCTGAATATGCTGCGCCTCGGGGCAGCCTCGGGTGCTACGTATGTGTTGGGAGGGCGGGTGGGAGTGAGCGAGACGGCTTGCGGGCGGGGAGGGAGTGTTGACCCCTCCCCCTCTCCCCTCCCCCTGGACCTGGACGGGGCGGTTCGCGAGCGGTCGGGGCGTCCAAGATGGCCCAAGATGGCTCCAAGAGGGCCTCGGAGAGCCCAAGACGACCTCCAAAATGGATCAAGATAGCGCAAGATCGCTCACGATGACTCCCAAGATGCTCCAAGAGGCCCCAAGAACGCTCCAAGACGTCTCCAAGAAGCCTCCGAGACCTCCAAGCCCCGAAGATGCCAAAATCTGTCCAAAAACCTCTGGAAACTCAATGGTTTTTGCTTTCTCGACTTTCCGTTTCGGATGGCCATCCGAAGCCTCAAGATGATGGCCCCAACATGGCCCAAGCGGGCTCCCAGAGAGGCCCAAGAGAGCTCCAAGACGGCCCCAAGAACGCCCTTTCTTCTTCCCAAGGTGGCTCGAGGCGTCTCAAGTTCTGTGCATGTGAAACTATCTCAGCTGCATCGTGCGGCGGTCTTCACCGCTCCTGCAGCCAAGTGTCTGACGCCCAAGAGTGCTCCAAGAGCGCCCCAAGAGCGCCCTAAGGGGCGATGTTTTGGGCTCCCGAGGGGCGAGGCTAATTGAAGCTCCCGTCTCGTTTGATCGATGTCCTCCAGATCTCCTCCAAGATGGCCTTAAGAGCGCACCTAAAGCCTCCAAGAGCGCTCCAAGAGGGCCCCAAAAGGCGCCCAGACGGCCCCAAGAGGCGCCCAAGACGCCTCCAATAGGCTCCCAAGAGACACCACCACCACCAGCACCAGCAGCAGCAACAGCACCAACCGCAGCACCCGTACCATTCGCTACCTGAGATCTCCCAATTCACCGTTGTTGCCCTGTTTGCGGCACTCGACATAACAGAGACTGCTACACGTCACCGCGTGCATAACATCTTTTAGGGGAACATTACTGCTGAGCAAAACAACAGATGAGAAAGAGATACGTGCCTGATGTGTTCAGCTCGATGCGTCGGCATTGCCGAGTCTTTCGCGCGCGAAGTCGGAAAGGCGCAGGTGTCAGCCAGTTACCAACGCTGGTTCAGCCAGGAGTCGTCAAATTTGCCACCACGCATACTCTTATCTGCGCAAGGACAGGCGGCGCCGGGTCGAGTGCTTGAAGCTGTGGCCAAAAAACAAAGCAATGGGAGCCAACGAGTGTTGCTCGTTACGCTAAGACCACTAGTCCCATACAAGGGCCATCATTGAAGATCAGTGATGCATGCAATCACAGATGCCGCGCTGTGTTTCGGAATCGTTGCTTTGGCGGAGGGCCGTTGGCAAGTCTCCACGACATGGTAGCCCCTTTCAACTGCGCGGTCCATGAACTGCTGTGGAAAGGCCAACCTGGCTACGAGATGCCAGATCACCAGCAAATTCTTCACACAAGCGCCACGCGTGGCTGTTTCGAGCGCGGTGCACGCGGGCATCGCAGACCTCGTCTGTATCTCAAGAAGCGTGCGCATCGCTGTCACAGGTGCGCCCCACATCGGTGCCAGGCGCAAGCGCGCCCTTAGTGGCGATTGCTTCCACGGCTGATGGCGTGCCTACGGCGTTCGTGTCCGCGACGTATTACACGTTGCGCACTGGCTTGTGAAATTACTCAATGCTGGGCGAGCGGCACACATTAAACACTATGGTCGTTCGCAAGGGGCCCCGCTGATCCCAGGAAGTTACCCGCTTGCGAGGAAGAAGCTCGGCACATCTCGGCGCGTGCGACAGCTGAACCGATGGCAGAGGCTGGTCTTGCAGAAGCGAGTGTTGGCAGCAACGGTGCGAAGACGATTCACTCAGGGCAGCGGTCATTTTGGCCGATCGAATTCGCGCCAGCTTCCTGCACCATCTGTCCTAAAAAACCAGGGCACTTGTGATGCAGCGAGCAAAAGGAAGGACGGAGATGGAGTCTTCGTCGGCCTCGCCCTCTCGAGACGCGGGGGCGCGATGGAATTGCCAATGGAACAGATCCGTCGCGAATGCTGCACCCTCCCAACCGCAGGATGAAACGCTTCGTCTGCATTGCCTCAAATCAAACTGAAGCCGCCGCGTCAGGGTCGGCCTGGCCGTTTGCCGCCTGGCCCGAGCCATCGAGCCGACGTAAGGGCACAGGAAAAGAGCTCGCAGCGTCGGCGCAGATGACGGTCCGAGAGTTCAGATCCCCTGCATGTGCAAGCGCAGTCCAGAAACCATGCTGCGCCATGCTCGGAGCATGCCTCTCTACGCCTGCACCAGCGCACGCAGGACACGGCAGAGCTCCACACCTCGTTCACAGTGGTCGGTGACACTCATGGGACGCCGGCAACGACACCTTGCCCCAATCTCCCTGGCTGACACTGTGCAGTGTTCCCCGTTGTGTTCGCCAGCCAGCCCCATACCGCAGGCATCCTGTGCCAGAGTTTCAAACATGCGTACGCCGCCGCGTCCGCCAGTGAAGCGCGGATTGCCAGCGTCATAGCAACGAGGGCCAGCAGGCACTGTGGCCCAGGATGCTGGGCGAGCCCACCGACAGAAAGGATCACCCATGACCTTTGAGTGCTCCCTCCCCGAGATGACGGAGCCACCGACGTGATCCGAGAGCGCCGGCTCAAAGAAGGCAGCACGCGGGGACCAGAGGCGCGCGGCACCAAAGGAGGACGTACCCCATCGAAGGAACACAAGCAGATGCTCTTGTTCCAAGTAAGTGTATGTGTATGTCTACATGTGCAAACACATCTAGAAATTCATGAATTCACACTTGTATGCATATATATATATACATATATATACATATAGACCCATACATATATATGTGTATATAGCATGTAGACATGCATGCATACATACATACATGCATACACACATACATACATGCATGCATAAATGCAAATATACATACACACATACTCCATACACATGTACATACGTTTGAATGTGTATGAACATAAGCATACACATACACATACACAAACAACTACATTACACAAACATATACTCATACAGAAACCGACGCACATACAAATACAAATACATATATATATATATACATGCATACACATGCACATACACCTATGCATATACATATAACTATACATATACAAATACACTTACATAGATATTTACATGGACATACGCATAGACATACACATAGACATATACATTGGAACATGCATAGATATCTACATACACACAAACATGTGCATGTACATGTACATATACATATACATGTATAAGTATATGTGTGTATGCACATATACTGCGTGCGCATGTACATATATATAGAGAGAGATGCATCTATATATATATATATATACACACGCATACATACGCATATATATATATATACATACGTATACACATCCATGTACGTGTATATATACATGTGGCTATACAGATGCGAATACATACACAAGTTCATACGCATATACGTACACATGTACGTATACCTACGCGCATACATGTACATATACCTACGCATATAGATATACATAGACCTATGCATCTAAATATGCAGATGCACAGACACATAAAACTTAAATACATATGCAGATGCGTGGACATATATAGATGTGTTCATATGAATATGCAGATTCGAATACATATACTGAATATCGCACGTATGCGTATGCATTAACATATACAAATATAGCTATACCTATATATACATATATACATAACCACATGCATATAACTCTGCAAATATATATAGTTCAATACATATGCATATGTACATAAATGAGCACATAGATACATATGTATACATATATAGAGCGAGAGATATTTACATGTACCAATGCATGTGCGATTGTATATGCACATACACATGCATATACGTATACAAATGCATACACGTATACAATTACATATGCATGTACCTGTACATGTGCACATGCACAAGCATTTAAAAGACATTTAGACATACATACACTTATACATGGACATGCTCATATTCATATATATATATATATATATACATATATATATGTATATATGCATATACATATAGCTATATGTATATATGTACATAAGCATACGCATATACACCTACATGTACAAGTACAAGTATACATACACAGACCTATACCTACACATATACCCAGACATGTGCATATGTATATACAAATGAATATATAATACATACACCTACACAAATACAAAGTCGTTTACATATACACATACAGAGACACATGCATAAACATATACATGTACACATACATACGTTGACTAAACATGCACATGCACGTAAACATATACAGATACATGTACATATGCATGTACATATCCATAGACATTTAACTGAACATATACATATACATGTACGTAAGTATATACATATACATCTACGTATACATATGCATAAGCATATAAAACATAAACGTACATGTACGTAGATGTCCTATGTATATATAACGTCGTTCCAAAATAGTTCAACGATGAGTCCGGGACGCCAGTGACGCACTGACCCATCCTCTTCTTCCCACAATTTTCAAATTCACATTCACATTCACATTCCTATCACTGTGCCTAGTCCTTTCAACTCTCAGGCCGTACCGTCCCTAACTCCTCGTCGTCCTCCTCGTCCTGCTGATTATTCTCCTCGTCCTCTGCCTCCTCCTCTGCGGGCGGTGCGGAGTCGTCCACCCAGGGATGAACAGGGCGAGAGCGCGAGCAATCTTACTGGAGTTGTCAAGCGAGTACGCTCTATTGCACGACAGAGCCACGCTTGACGTACGAAGAAGAAGAGAAAGGCTGAGCATCCGCAAGAGACGACGGGAAGACAAAAAAAATAATGTGCTCGGACTCGAAAACAACGGTATGATCTGCATCAAAGCGATTGAAAAAAAAACGCAACAACAACACAAATGCTCACCGCAACGGAGGAGGGAAGAGGAGGAGGATCAACGACCCCCCCTCCCGCACCGCGACATGGCTTCGCCCACAAATCCTCAGCGCGCTTGGTAGCTCAAAGGCCTGAGATAAAGACAACCGCGATAGCAAACCGGTGGCAAATTTCGGGAAGACGCACACAGTTTGTGTCGCACAGGGTACATATTCCTGCGTTCCGCCGTCAGTCTCACATGTATTATGATCGACGTCCTGCTGATCCTCTGCCCTCTCTGTCTGTAGTCTTCCACGGCCGAAGGGCCCAGTCAATCTACGGGAAGGCCTTGCTCTGACAACGCGGGCCCCAGCGGCTGACACCGCGGGAGCCTTTCGATTCTGCACGAGCTCTGCTCTCGGAGGCCCCCAGAGGCTGCTGTGGCACCCTCCTCTCCTTCGGATCTCGAGCCGTGGGCTATGTTCCGCACTGGCAGGTCCCAGGGCAGGAAACAGCCCCCCCACGGGCAATTTGCCTCCGAACGCCTACAGTCAACCCGTACCATAAGGACGCGCGACAAGGATGCAAGGGCATTGGAAGGCCAGCTCGAAGCTTTGCGAGCGGGGCACGGCCAGCGAAACTGGCCAAGGATGGGCCGAAGGGGAAGGATGCAAGGGTAACCTTGGCAAAGTTGCTCATCCTTGTCATGCGGGTTGACTGTAGCGCCAGTGTCGCCACCGCGTCGAGGCAGCGGGAACCTTCCGCAACAACCGCATCGTCCCCTTCAGGGCGACGCTGGCGACTCCACGGTCCGAGCGGCGGGAATGTGGTCAGGTGGGCGAGTGGGGAGGACAATGACGACAACGAGGAAGAGGACGAAGAGGACGAGGCCAGGAACGCAGACGGAGGTTGGAGAAGATGCAAGCACCAAACGCCACCCCCGCCGCTTGCTGCGCGCAAGACATCAGACGACTAGATTTGTTCGGGTCGCCAGCCCCTGAATTTCTCGACATTCCCCATGGCCCAAGATCTGACTTCTATGCTGAAGCGTGCAGTCACGGTCCCGCGCCCAAAAACTGGCTCCCGATGCCGAAGCAAAAACTGGCACCCGGATCTCTTCGAGCGGCCACAAGTCAAAGAGTGGGACAAACGCAACCATCAGTTCAAACGGTAGTAGCACCCGTTCGCAACCGCAGGCTATCGCCAACGCCTTTTCCGCCTCCGTTCTCCTCCACCACTCCATGGTCTTCCTACTTTCCTCCTTTACCTCCTCCTCGTCCTCATCCTCCACATCATCCTCCTCCTCCTCCTCCTCCTCCTCTTCCTCCTCCTCTTCGTCCTCCTCCTCCTCGTCCTCCTCCTCCTCCTCCTCTTCCTCCTCCTCCTCCTCCTCCTCCTCCTCCTCCTCCTCCTCCTCATCCTCCCCCTCATCATCATCATCATCATCATCATCATCATCATCATCATCATCATCATCATCATCATCATCATCATCATCATCATCATCATCATCATCATCATCATCATCATCATCATCATCATCATCATCATATCATCATCATCATCATCATCATCATCATCATCATCATCATCATCATCATCATCATCATCATCATCATCATCATCATCATCATCATCATCATCATCATCATCATCATCATCATCATCAGCATCATCATCATCATCATCATCATCATCATCATCATCATCATCATCATCATCATCATCATCATCATCATCATCATCATCATCATCATCATCATCATCATCATCATCATCATCATCATCATCATCATCATCATCATCATCATCATCATCATCCTCCTCTTCCTTCTCCTCCACCTCCTCCTCCTCCTCCTCCTTCGCCTCCTCCTCATCATCCTCCTAGTTCTTTTCCTCCTATTCCTCCTCTTCCTCCTGTTCCTCCTCCTGTTCCTCCTCCCCCTCTTCCTCGTCCTCCTCCTCCTTTGTTTCCTTTCCTTTGTCCTCCTTTTCCTCCTCCTCCTCCTCCTCCTCTTTTCCCTTCTCTCCTGACCGGTTGGGACTCGCTGCGGTCGAAAGTTGCATTGTCAGGGCTGCGGGGGGGTTCAAAAGTTCGAGCCCTCCCACACGTTTGCAGCGGAGTTCCCTGGGAATCTCAATGCGCAGACAACCTCAGCCGAAGCCGCAACGTGTGATCATGTCCACTCAACTGCGAAGAAGTTCGATTTTCGGCTCCAAATTTGCCGGACGGGTGATTTGTCTGCCTCCTCGTCGTCGTTTCCCTCCTGTTGGCCCTCTTCCCCTGAGCTCGAGCTATGCGGGTGCTCAAGCCGACACAACAGCACGTCGCCAGTATGCATTTGCCAGGTCTCCTCATTTTCAGGCGCTGTCGGAGGCGACACACGCTTCCGACCCCTCCGTTCACGCGGTGGCGGAAGTGGTACCTTGCACGGGCCCGTCCAAGGCCGTGAGCTCTCAGTGCCTCGGCTGCCTGCTGCCCGCACCGCCACCGTGGAGCTCTGTTTCCAAGCCAGCGTGGCGCAGCTTCGAGCAGTGGACTGTCGGAGGCCGCCGCCGATCCCCGCCGACCCCCGATCGGGCCTGCTCCGCATATGCCAAGGTACGATCGGGTGGGAGACTTCGTTGATCGTGAGCTCCACTGGGCCCAGCTGCAGCAACGGAACAACAGCATAGGCACCTTCTCTTGGGTTGGGAAGGCTCATACGCCTCACAAAGCTCGCAGGACACTCGACGAATGGGGCTATACAGGCCAAGCCAATCAAGGGAACTGTAAAAAAACAGTGACAAGTAACGATCGGGTGGGGAGCTGAAACAAAGGATCAAACCATGATAAGAACAATCAGATTCGGCACTCGGCGCCCCCGCGGGCGGTCGCGGCCCTATCGTCGCCTCCGTGACAAGGCTGCCTGCTGGGCCGCACGCGTGAAGAGCAACCACACGTGGACGTCGATCCATCAGCAAGCAGCATCGACGGGGGAGGCCCCGAGGGGCAAAAGGGCGAGCAGGGGGCCACGCGAAGCAGCGAGAGGCGATCGGCGCACGCCCCCACGTCCGCAAGCGGGAGCAGGGAGCGCACCGTTCACCAACCCGCCGCTAGGAAAAGCCCCCGAGGGAGGAGGAGACGCCAGCGGCGGAGAAGGAGCGGGAAGGGCGAGAGAAGCGGAAGACGACGAACGAGGAAGACGACAGCAGAAGGGATCGTTATCCGCATTAGCTGGCCGAATACGGGCGGGTGAAAGACGCGGCGAGGAAAGGAGCGGAAAAAAAAACCGTTGGCGGGACGCGCTAAGCGTCGTCCTTCCCCAACTCCGCCAGCAAGCCTGGCGCGGCAGTCACAGCTCCGCCAGCCGATGGAGAGCTCCGCGCCGTCGCCCGGCGGATCGCCACGGACTAGCGCTGAAACAGGCGCGCCGCGCCCGTCCCAAGCTCCTCGTCTCGTCTCCGATCACTGGCCCAGGCTAGACGGCGCAGAATGTCGGCGCCAGTCGGGCCCCATCCTCCAGAAGGCTCCGCCACGAGGGGGGCGAACACGATCCCCTGCCGCTGGCGCGGTCGCTCTGTGTCGAGGCGGCCCCCCTTGACCAAGTCGTACTCCTGCGCCGCGCAACCCGCGCCCTGGAACGCCGGGACACGGGCAGCCTGCCTGCGCGGCGAAGGCACCGCGATGTCGAAGCAGCAGGCGCCCCCTGGACCCAGGAAGGCAAGTAGACATCCGCAGGCCGGCGCCCACCCACCTGGACGTCGTCTGGGCTGGGCGGTAGGAGGCCAGGCTGTTCGAGCGTCGGGTTGCAGCCCGCGCTGGTGGCAAAGGTGCCGACCACGTTCCTTGCCACGTTGAGCCGGTGGACGCGATCCCTGGCGCCCGCGCACGAGCCTGCGCGCCGGCCGCGGCGGTCGCAGACGTCCTCGCAGCAGGGGCAGAAGTGCTCAGTCTCGCACGCGGGCATGAGGAGCCTGCGCTTCACCTCGCACACGACTTCCTCGGGCTCGAAAAGGAGCCCCAGCTGCTCGCTGGTCTGCGCCTCGAGGAAGTCTGGGGCGCTGGGCAGCATCTCCGAAAGGATGTCAGCGCGGTCTGCGGCCCCAAAGCCCGCCAGAAAGGTCTGGCGCCCGCGCTCGCCCACCGCGGCCGAGAGCAGCTTCTGCGTGGCCCTGTCGAGCGCCGCCGGGTCGAGGCCGTCCGCGGGCGCCAGCAGGGCGTTGTACGCCAGGAGCGCCTGGCCCTCCAGCGTGGCCGCGCTGCGCCGCGCCCACGCGCGGGCCTGGTCAAGCTCGCAGCACAAGCTGCGAGGCTGGCCAAGTGAGCGCCGGGCGCGCGTGCTGTCAGCTCCCGCAAGTCGACCCCGCGTGGGCGAGCCCTCTGGCTGCCTGGCCCCACTGCGCGTCCGTCAGGTCCGCTGCCAACAGGTCCGACAGTGCGCGCCGCTGGCCGTCGTCGAAGCAGCGCAACGCTTCCGAGGGGAGAGCAGACGGCGCTGCGCGGGCTCTGTACACGAGTTTCGCGTAGCTCGCGCAGTAGTGCACGAGGGCGAGGCCCACCTGGGGGCGCAGGTTGGCGAGCGCCTCCTGGGCGGGCTTAGCCTTGTCGGCGCGGCGCTGGGTGAACGGCTCGCAGTAATGATTTGCCCGCATCAGCGCCCCCAGGAGCTTGAAGCAGCCTCGGAGGACAACGCGGTCGGCCCCAGTCTCTGCGTCCGCCAGGAGATGCGCCGGGAAGAGGTCCGCCAGGCCGCCCGGCCTGCGTCCGCAAGGGACCACGAGCTCGCACTTGCCGAGGGAGGAGGAGGCCCAAGTCAGGGCAGCGGCGCTGCAGTGTCGCCAGCGTCCGCTGGCTCCTCCAACACCGCGCGCACGCCGAGGGCGAAGATCAAGGACCCTAGCGGGTCCCCCCGCTGCACGCCTGCCTGGGAAGACATGGCATGGATGCCAAAACGCAATTTTGAAGGCTTCGCGCAAGCCGAGCGCGCCCAGCGTTCCAGCTCCGGGAAGCGGACACGGACAGCACGCAACGCGGGGTCACGGTGCAGTACGTTTTGGGCGAGCGCGAGCCAGGGCGGCGCGCCACCAGAATATGCTCGCCTGCCCTCCGCGCCGCGGGCCCTGGGGGAGACAGGCCCAACTTTGGTGAAGGCCTGCGTTAGGTCGGGACAGTGGGGCCTGGGCCTGGAAGCATTCGACCCTTAGCGCTGTCAGGCGGCTGCACTCGGCTGCGAGTTTTGCGATGCGGCCCAGGGAGAACACTATTATTACAGCGCGGTGCTGGTTGTCTACCTTTTGGCTATCCAGCAGCACCAAGGCTACCACGCGACGATCGTTGCCGAGGTGGCCCGAGATGCGGCTGGCAGGCCGACCCCAGCTGGGCTGCGCCGACGACAACACTGTTTGGCAGGTTTGCGCACAGCTTCCGCCCCGCGTCGATGACCAGCTGAACGCGACAAACTCCAGTTAGCAAGCTCAATCCAAAAAGGACTGGAGCGCGCGTCTCCTCGAGAGGGTCAATACTTGGGACAGGAAGGCGCACCCGGTGACAGTCGGCCCGACACCTT